GTTAAAAAACCATTTTTTTTTTTTTTTTTTTAGCCCAGCTTCGGTCTCAAGACACATTTTTTCCGCATGTAAACATGTGTGTGTGACCTGCACAGCCTGGCTGGCGTCGCTGAGGTGCTGCAGGACGCCCAAGCACACCACGCACACGCCCTCGCCCTCGTCCTCGTCCGCCGCTTCCTCCGACTCCAGTCTGCTTCTTTTGCGAGCCGGTTCCAATTGGCCGACATTCTGGCAATCGTGGTTTTCCTCCGCGAAGGCTCGAAGTTGCCTGAGCGTTTCCTGTTCCACAGCAAAACACATTTCCGCGCTCACGACGGCGCTTTTTTTGCACGCCATTTCTTCAAGCAAAATGTCAGCATCTCGCCCAATGACGGAGTTCTTTCTCGTGTGTCACTGAATGTTTTCATCCAAGTGAAGGAAAGTGCATGCCCTGCCCCGACGGGAAGTTCGTGTCCAATCCTAATAATCCTAAGGTTACATGTCTGCGGTGCTGCGTACCCGGCGGCCGTGCCTGTAGGCGTCCGGGACTCCGATGCAGCAGAACCTGAGCACGCAGCGAGCGCAGCAGCCGGACGCCAACAGCTTCCCGACGATCGCCTTGTCCTTCTCCTTCAGGGGCAACATCTCCTGCTCACACGTCAAACACACACACAGCTGATTCCGTCTGCAGCCTACCGACACCCCGTCCGATGTACGCGACGATCCGAATCTCGACAGAAGGCGCATTCGCGACAGTCCGATGGATCGTTTCGTCGATCGACCCCACGGTCTTGTCGGGATCGCGATGGAAAAAGGGGCGCGAATCTCACCGCGGGTTTGAAATGACGGCTTTCTTCAAAAACGCTTCATTTGGAAGACGACGCGACTGGGATCTTGGCTCGGCGTCGTATGACGTCGCGGCTCGTCCTCGCGCTAGCTTTTTAGCTTTGGCGCCGAGCGACCGCCTTCGGGAGGCTGACGAAGCGCGCGCTCGCTCACGCGGCGACCGGGAGGCAAATCAAAATCGCACGCTTCTCCGACAAGAAAATCACAATGGCTTCGAGGTGTCCGCTCGTACCCGAACGCGAGGCAAAACCGCTTCCGGTCCTCGTGGTTCAAGCCGAGCAGGCCTCGCAATCGAACCGGAGCGGCTCGATTTCTTTCGGCCGCCATTCTGCGCCGACGGGCGTTTTCCAGTACGTCGTTCGAATCACAAGTCGTATCAACATCGAGTGTGGCCGGCGATGAAAATGACATTTTGAGTGTGTTAACCGACGAGGCTCAAATTGCACACGTACTAAATGGTCTCCACACCTTGGACGTCGCACATTCAATCACATTCATTTAGGTTTGGTTTTTCAGAATCAGAATCGCCTTTACTGTCATTGTATTCCATGCAACGAAATTTGGGTGCCACTCCTTCATGCATTTCGTCAAAAAAAAAAAAATCAAATCGAATCAAGTGCGAGTTGCCTCTACTCCTTTCTAAACACGTAGTTCATCGCCACTTGCTTTCCCTACCTAACGACGCGCTTTGGTTTTTTCTTCTTTTTCCACGTTGGGCGAAAGCGTTCCCGTAATCTCAAGTGCGATGTGTCGTTTCGGTGCTCGGCAAGTGCTGTCTCGCGACGTCATCATTGCGCGCCCTCTTCTCGGCGACTCTGGAAGCTTCCGAGTTGTCTCGGGCGGACGTCCGAAAATCCTCTTCCATCCCAAACCCAGGCGCCACATTTCATCTCGGGGACTCGTCGTTCCTGTCGTGAAGGCCCCCCCCGACATTTTCCACCGAGTATCAAGTCGCGATGCCCGAAGCGATGGCTGCGCCGAAGGCTCCAAACGGAGGCAGAAACAAAGGAGGGGCGTACGTGGACCGCGACAAGCCGGCTCAGATCCGCTTCAGCAACATCTCTGCCGCCAAAGGTAGTTGAAAGCCCGCCGAGTGTCGCAGTTCGGGCCGGGCCGGAGACCGTTTCGCGTCCCGATGCCATTCGGCTCACGTGCGGTCGCGCAAAACGAGTCATTTCCGAGCGGTCTTTGAACGTCTTCAGTTCGGGCCCGAAGGCTTTTTCGTTCGCGACGACGTGTCGATCGATTCGTTCTGCGCGGTCGATCGCTCGCGTGAATAAACGACGATTGAAGTCTGTAGCGTCTGATAACGGGAACCCCTGTTGTCGATCCAGCCGTGGCCGACGCCATCAGAACCAGCCTGGGGCCCAAAGGAATGGACAAGATGGTCAGTGAAGGCGTCGCGCCAACTCCGCAAGTGGCTCTTGGGCGCCCCCGGTGACACTCCACTGCTCCTCTTCCTTGATTTTTTTTTTTAGATCCAGGACGAGAAAGGAGACGTGACCATCACCAACGACGGAGCCACCATTTTGAAGCAGATGCAGGTGCTGCACCCCGCCGCCAAGATGGTACGTTCCGCCCCGACGCGTCCTTGCCCCCCCTCCCTGGACGGTGCGCGTCTCCAACACCGGCTGACGGCGCTCGCGTGTCTTGCAGCTGGTGGAGCTGTCCAAAGCTCAGGACATCGAGGCGGGCGACGGCACCACGTCGGTGGTGGTGATCGCCGGCGCCCTCCTTGACGCCTGCTCCAAACTGCTCCAAAAAGGTCAGAAATGAAAGACGTTCACGAGCGACGTTCGCTGATTTTTCTTCCCCCCCCAAAGCCGTGTATTGGCACCGATAGTCTCTCTCGAGTGCCTCGGCGATAACGGATGCGCGCTAGGATGTTTTTGAGGCGTCCATTTTGTTGAATGGACCTGATGACAAGGAAATTGCGAACAGAGACCATCGGCCGTTGTATTTGATTTTTTTTTTTTTTTTTTCAGGCATCCATCCCACCATCATCTCCGAGTCCTTCCAGAAGGCGGCGGACAAGGGCGCGCAGGTGCTGACGGCCATGAGCCGGCCGGTGCAGCTGAGCGACCGTGAGACGCTGCTCAACAGCGCCGCCACCTCGCTGTGCTCCAAGGTGGTGTCGCAGTATTCCAGCCTGCTGGCCCCCATGAGCGTGGACGCCGTCATGCGCGTCATCGACCCCGCCGCCGCCACCGGCGTCGACCTGCAGGACATCAAAGTCATCAAGAAGCTCGGGTGAGCTCCCCCCGAGTTCTGATCAAAGCCACTCCTGCCCTCTAGTGGCAATTAGGCAAGACTGAAAATGCTCGGCCCCCGGAGGACGATGAAAAGTCCGGTTCGTTTACCGCCAACTGGGGGGGCGCAATATGTGCCCGTTTCAGGGGCACCATCGACGACTGCGAGCTGGTGGACGGCCTGGTGCTGACCCAGAAGGTGGCGAGCGCCGGCGTCAGTCGAGTGGAGAAAGCCAAGATCGGCCTGATCCAGTTCTGCTTGTCTGCGCCCAAAACGGACGTGAGTGGCCTCGGGAGGGAGGGCGCGGCCGCCCGCCCACCGCGCGCGCGGACGTTGACGTCTTTGCTTTCCCTGCAGATGGACAACCAGATCGTGGTGTCGGACTACGCCCAGATGGACCGCGTGCTGCGCGAGGAGCGCGCCTACATCCTCAACATGGTCAAGCAGATCAAGAAGGCCGGCTGCAACGTGCTGCTCATCCAGAAGTCCATCCTCAGGTGCGGCCAAAAGTCGCCACCGTAAACGGGGTCGCGGGGGCGAGCGTTTGGCCGAAGTTGACGTTGACGAGCCCCGCCCCCCTTTTGATTGCGGCCCCGCAGGGACGCCCTGAGCGACCTGGCCCTGCACTTCCTCAACAAGATGAAGATCATGGTGGTGAAGGACATCGAGAGGGAGGACATCGAGTTCATCTGCAAGGTGAGCGACGCCGGCCGGCCGGCCGGCGCCCTCTGCCGGTGCGCCGAGCCATTTTTTTTTTTCCACGCTTGTGAGTTTTGGGGTCCTGATTTTAGTTGTCCTATCGTCGCACGCGTTCAAAATCCAAAACGCCTAAACCGGTCGAACGACGTGTCTCTTCAGACCATCGGCACCAAGCCCGTCGCCCACATCGACCACTTTGTTCCCGAGATGCTCGGCGCCGCCGAGACGGCGGAGGAGGTCCACCTGGACGGCTCGGGCAAGCTCATCAAGGTGCGCGGCCGGCCGGCAAACCGGGAAAATCGATACAATTGAACGCCGCGCTCCCTCGTTCACCGAATGTCCCCCTTCCGCCGCCCTCAGATCACCGGCTGCGCCAACCCCGGCAAGACGGTGAGCATCGTGGTGAGGGGCTCCAACAAGCTGGTCATCGAGGAGGCCGAGAGGTCCATCCACGACGCCCTCTGCGTCATCCGCTGCCTGGTCAAGAAGAGGTCCGCCCCCGCCGCCGCTCTCCTTTCGCTCACGATCCAACAGATCGCCGCCTTTGTCGCTTGAGTCCACCGAGGTTTTTTTCCTCGACCCTCCTTTCAAAGGCGCCCCGACACATGTCCTTGGTGCCGGGGCGTAACACGTGGAGGCACATGAACAGTGACGCGCTCGCCCCGGTTTCTCACGTCAACCCGGCGAGGGAAGGGGGAGGGGCTCGCGCGCCCACACACACACACACACACACACACACACACACACGTCGAGTCGGCGGCCAAGTTAAGCGGAGCCAAAAATGTCGTCGCGTCCCCCGCCAGGGCCCTGATCGCCGGCGGCGGCGCCCCCGAGATCGAGCTGGCGGTGCGGCTGGCCGAGTATTCGCGCGCGCTGGCCGGCATGGAGGCGTACTGCGTGCGGGCGTACGCCGACGCCCTGGAGGTGATCCCGTCCACGCTGGCCGAGAACGCCGGCCTCAACCCCATCTGCACCGTCACCGAGCTGCGCAACAGGCACGCCCAGGGAGAGAAGATGGCCGGCATCAACGTGCGCAAGGTGAACGCAAAGCAAACGTGGGCTCTCTCTCCCTCCCGGCATGTCGTTGACACGTTGTCTCGTTTGTCCACGCCGGCCGGCGTCAGGGCGGGATCTCCAACATCCTGGAGGAGCTGGTGGTGCAGCCCTTGCTGGTGTCCATCAGCGCCCTCACCTTGGCCACGGAGACTGTGCGCAGCATCCTCAAGATCGACGACGTGGTAGGACCGAGCCCCCCGAGCCCCTCCTTCACGCCACGTTTGCATTCGTTCCATTCGTCGCTCATCGTCGCGCTCTTTCTTGTTTGCAGGTCAACACCCGATAATTTTGGCGAGGCGCCGCCGACCCGCCCGAAGCTCTTGATAGGTTGCTTAAGTTAATAAAAGACTTTGTTTGCGGAATGACACAAGTGCCTCTCTTGGTCCGTCCTTATTTTTTCTTGGGGGGGGGGGTTGAAGAACAGCTTCATGATCTGCCATCCAAATGAGCTCAGAAAACAAATGATAGGGCAGATTTTTTTTTTTTTTTATATAAGGCTTTAATCTTCATCTTGAATGAAATAAGAATAAGCACACAAATGAAGACGCGGATGTCAGGTTTCTGCGGAGACCAGAGGAGGGGAGGGACCCTTCCTGATTGGCCAACAACTAATGGCGCCAAGTTCAAAGATCCTCCGGGGAGCGACAGGAGTCACCGCCTCGTCGCTCTGAATCCGACGGCAGTTGCTCGCTTGCTCTCGGCCTCCCAACAAGTGTCTTGTTCGGGAATTCGCGCTTCCTCAGTTAGTAGCTAAGTTGTTCGTTCTTATATTAGTTAGTTTTCGGGTAAATCCTTTGTTCGCGTGCCAGCTTTTGCCGCCTTTTGTTTGTTTTTTGTTGTTGTTGTTGTTCAATATACTCTTATTTGCTTCTCTGTAATGGTCTGCGAAACGGCCCTTTTTAAATAAAGGGTGTGTTTTGTTTTGAGTACAATTCACGTCGCATAAGTAGTCGATTGCTGAGTTGATCGATAACGTCATCTTGAGTTGCATCCCTACATTCAGTTCGAGTTGTAAAGATTGGAAAGTACTGGAATTGATTCTATCTATGTTGAATGCGACACGCCCGTCATGTAACGTCACTTCCTTTTGACAACGTGATGGCTTCCGTTGCTCGGCAACGACTGCTTCCTTTAATCTTTGAGGCTGACGCCCCCGCCCCCCCAACTGTTGCTTTGCTCTGTAGGGCCCCCGGAGCACTTTGGCCCGCGTACTCCCGTACTTTTTGTTTTGTCGGGGTTGTCTTGTGACTGTTTCACACGCGTCAGATGTGATGGCCAACGCGTACCGGAACAACGCGCTGGTGACGTCGTGTCTTCAGCGGCCGGTGGACCCGCACACCGGGGCGCCGCTGGCCTCCTACGAGCGGGACGAAGGACCGCTCAACTCGGAGCCGACTCACTCGGACAACCGCGGCGGCTACCGCGAGGACGAGGACGAGGTAAGGGTGACAAAGTCGAGCTCAATGGCCGCGCGCCGTGAGTGACCGCACTTGAAAGGCCGCTTTCGCACTGTCGCCTCAAAATGGACTTTGAGCACTTTGTCCCAACGAGTAGAAATTAAGTCACCCCCTGAAGCTCTTATTCGCACTAATATTAGCTTTTACAGCTGAACGCAAACAAAACAAAACACTGCAATGACCGTGATTTCACGGTTCCATTCCAATGAGTCGGGCCAGTTGCCTTGTTTCGACTTTTGGGGCACGGCGGTGTTCCACAGAGTTCTCTTTTGGGCCACCCCCGTTTACTGGTTGGGATGCCGGCACACGGGACAATATAAAAAATTTAAAAAAAACCTAAAATATGGATTTTTATGCCAGCCCCGATGTGTGCGTTGGCTTCAACCCCCCCCCCCCCCACACACACACACACACACTACCATTGTGAAGTACAGATTAGTTGGATTGAATTTTGAAAGACATTTGGTTTGGTTTTCAAATGTTTATTGAGTAGGAGTGGAACGATTGCCAAAAACAATGAATCCGTTTTGGGATGCATAGAAGTGGAAATTCTCCCCAACCCGAAAGCCCGAAATGAGGCAAGCCCCCCAACTGAAAAAGTTCTGAAGAAATAACAAGCGGCGACATTTTTCTGCGCTTTGGCAAAATTTATCAAAGTGCAAGCGATGTGCATGCTTTTCTTGGCGGCCTTCATTTGTCTGTTCGTGGGCAAGATTAGACAGCGTGGGTGGTAGTCGTGCTCCTAATCCCTCACCCGCGCCCCCCCCCGCCCGGGACATCGGGCTTCTGGAGGCCGCCTGACCTGACGCCGCCATGTTAAGCCGCCCTCATCAGCCCTAATCGGCTTCGATGTACTGTACTCGGACGCTGACGCGCATCGGAGCTCGCCACGCTCCGCAATATATATATTCATGTCGTGACTTGAAGTCCCATTTGGCCGGAGCCCCGCCCCCCAGGCCTCGGATCCGCCTCCGGCGCCGCAGGGTGCTTTGTGTTTGACGCCGGTTTGGTCTGCCCCCCCCCCGACCCCCAGGTGGCGCGCGGAGACGCCGGCGACGAGGAGGGCGGGGCCCGGGCCGCGCCCGGCGAGCGC